GGAGCTCCTTTGGGTGCCGTTTTCCTTCGGGGTCAAATTCCCGGTTTTGGTTATCCCCTTTAAGGCCCAAAAGGGCAGGGGGCCAGGTTACCTAAGGGACCGCCTCTCCCCTATGGCTTCAACCCGTCCCACCTGATCACACAGAGGGCATGCTTCAGACCCCCTCGGTAAAAGAACTCCAATTAGTGGGGTCTAGAAGGTGGGCCTTCTCTGCGGTAGCCCCCACTCTTTGGAATATTCCATCCCTCACTCCTGGCCTTCCGGAGGGCTTTGAACACCTGGCTCTGCCACTTGGCCTGGGGTGGGGAGGGAAGACATCAAGTGTGGGGATGGCTAGCCCCATAGAGGCCTGCTGTCTTCAGCCCCAGATCCTTCATCTTCTTGGAGTCTCTTTTTCTTTTTTAGTAATGTTTTATTTAAATTTTTATGTTTTATGTATTTATGGTTTTAATGTTTTGTGTGAGCCGCCCAGAGTCCCCCATTGCGGGGAGATGGGCGGGGAGAAATTTAATAAATAAATAAATAAATAAGTATAAATAAATAAATAAATAAATGGATATATTGAATTTTGTGGTTTACTGTTGTAAACTATTGGGACTCACAAGGGTCATCAATATATAAATGTAATAAATAATTAACGGAATAATGCAACAAAGCTTTTATAGACTGGATACGACTAGCAATCCACTCCAACACATTTGGTCAGCTGTTGAGGAAAAAAATAGATTTCTTAGAGAATACTTATTCACACTAGGGAAAAAGCAGTCTTAATTCTAAGATTCTTCAAATATATTCTCAGTGGGACACACTAGATCTCCTACTCTTTCTCTTCCTGTCATTTAATGGAACAGAAAGAAACAAAGTTGTTCAGCAGGTGTTTTTCAGGTCCTGTTTCTCATCTCAGATAACGGAGTGGCCAGCGTGTGCCTGGACTATGAGCAGGGTCCATCCTCTTCCAGAAGGCAGCCTGCGGGCCTCTTGGATGCTCTGGAGTGCAACGATAGAAGCTGTCATGAAACGGACAAGGAGGAATGCTTGCCTGGGGAGGAAAAGGTGTGCACATGCGATGGAGTGACGAGCAGAGCTCACTTAGGGCTCCATTTATTTAAAATTGCTTTGATGTTGATGGCAATGAAGTAAACATAAGCTTCCTCCTGCTCTTAATTTTCCATTTCTGTTCTCACAAAGATATTCACGCTTTAAAGGCTCTCTCGGAAGATCCTGAGGGTAACTTTGGATTGACAGTCAGGTTCTCTTTTCATACTTTCTAAGACTCCACTGCTGCTTGTTGAGACTGGCTCTGGCTGTTATTGGTTGGGAACATCACTTGTGTATTGGAGAAAACAAAATAAAGCCATGGATTTGCTCCAGTCAAGGTCTGCTCCTGATGCCTACTTGAGCTCACATGCCGGGTGGGACGGGTCGATGTAATGGGGCCAAGGTGGTTCCTCAGGTAATGCCATGAAGGGCTTTAAAGGCCATAACCCCCTTGAATTGGACCCAGAAGCAGACCGGCACCCAATGCAGCTCGCGCAGTAGAGGTGTTACATGTGCAGTCCTAGAGGCGCCCATAACTGCCCGCGTCGCCGCATTCTGCACCAGCTGTAGCTTCTGGACACTCTTCAAGGGTAGCCCCATGTAGAGCGCATTGCAGTAGTCTAAACGGGAGGTGACCAGGGCATGAGTGACAGTGATTAGGTCCCTCTGATCTAGGAATGGGCGCAACTGCCACACACCAGAAAGCTGGGCAAGGGCCCTCCTAGCCACAACTGCCGCCTGCTCGTCAAGCAGGAGTCGTGAGTCCAGGAGAACC